GGGGGGAAGAGTCCGGTCGGAAAATTAGCTCGGCCACTCGGTAAACACGATAACGCTCGGCGTTATTACGACGATGCACCCGTCTCTTTCGTTTCCCGCGCTTGCGTCATAGTCGTAATGATGCTCCCGCGCTAAGTAACAACGTTAATTCGTGGAGCCAACAGCTCCCGCGACAGAACAATGACTGCGAAACGGCTCCTCATTACGGCTCGGGGGAAGGGGGAGGGGGCTAGATTAGCACGGCAGTTCATTAAGTTTGCGAGCTATGTAGGATCCGGGACGATAAATATTTACGTACTGCCGAATGTGGGTTACGTTTGCATATTACGCCTGTGAGAGATATTAGCGGTCCCCGCAAATGCTATGGATCGAGAGCGCACGAGGATATCACGTAGCGGTGTGGTCCTGATAAGAGTCGTCCTTGTCTTACGCATTTAATTGTCCGCTTTTCTTGTCTCGCCGTCGGCCATCAATTTGCCCCGCTCATCCGTACCTACCGCGTATATATACATAGATGCGCCGGGGGGGAGGGGGGGAGGCAGAGGGAGGAGGTGATCGTTTGTTTAAACTCTTTCCTCTGCTCGCTATCTCCTCGCGAACTAAATATCCGCCACTTGCTAATGAAAATTGCAATCCTCTCATTATCTCGTCCGTATAATTGTATCTCGCTGCACGAAGTATCTCGGATGTACACATTTTCTCTCTCTCTCTCTCTCTTTCTCTCGTCAGGGAATTATAAAAAAATGATCCTCACCGCTTTACAAGCGCAACGTCTTTGTGTGCGGGACGTATATAAATAAATAAATAAATTCTCGGTGAAATATTAAGCGCGCCGTCTCCATTTGTCCGACCTTCCTTTTCTGTTATCGAGATCAACCACGCACCGTAGGCCGATCTCGAGAAATACGAGCATCCGAAACGGGTATCGACGAACATTTGGAAGGAATCTGGAAAGACGAGGGGAAAATGCGAGAATAAATCCATCGTTGAAAAATCGGGAGGAATTCGGAACTCGAGATACTTAGATTTACGCGCGATACATACTTTCTCTCTCTCTCTCTCTCTCTCTCTCTTTCTTTTCCTCCGTTTCTCCTGGGAATGATCGACGGCGTTGTAATTGTTAATCATTTCGTAATTTATCGCGCGAGCAATATCTCTTGGGAATCGTGCGGGAAAATAAATGGTCTGAATGCAATTGCCGATCGATCGAGCGAACAGATACGAAGAAAACTCAAGGGCAACGAGAGATATGTATGGGCGTATGTACATGTGGTACATATATACATACATATGTATACGAGTAGTAACAAACTATCTCCACGACGGAAGCTCCCACGAATATACGTGGATATTCATTCAAATGCTTATTCAGGCTCAATACCGATCGCGATGAGCGTGCCCGGGAAGTTTTCGAGGGCCACCCCCGGTGTTCCCAGGAGCACGCTTATGAGGTCTTGTGCGGCACGTATAACTGGAATTCGCGTGAGGTAAAGCCGCGCAACGCTATTGACTCCGAGAATCTCCAGAATTTCGTATCCCTATTTCCTGTGTTGTAATGCATACGGTACTCTATCTCGAACAGTCTTTTCGAACCTCACCTTCGGAATATCATTCATCTCGGACCAGCCAAATTAGAGAACGCGGATCAAGCGATGCGTGCGGACTGTCGGCTCAAGTGGTAAATAACTTCCGTTTTTCCCTCTTCCCTTTCTTCCCTTTCTTATTTATAATTACATTCAAGAGAAAACAAGATGAGATCCGATTTAAAAAAATCAACAGCAAGAAAAGTCAACAACAAGTAGAAACCGAGGTGATAAAAAAAACAGGCCGAAAAAGTTCAGCAAGAAAAACGGCATACTCTCACCTTGACTTTACCCTCTGGAGAGGCGCGATTAAGAATTGACGAACTAACATTCACGGTTTCCCGCGGTCTCGATTGGCGCACTTCGTTCACGTTGGTCTCTATCCGTTTCTCATTTATTCTCATGTGAGATATTCGACGACAGCTCCCAATCTGGTATATATATATATATATATATACGGACATTCGTCATTATTAATAATGGCTCGCGCTCTCAACTAATAGGCAGCTTATCGGTTCTTCCTGGGAGTGTCGAGAAAAAGGCAATATTTGTTCTCTTCGTCAGGAGTTACTTATCTAGTTATTCAGTATATTACCTCTTATTGCGTTACGTTATATATCCGGGCGCTCTCGCTTGGAAACTCGCGTCTGGTACAGATGCTCGGAGAAAAAAACTGGCCCTCTCTTATCGCGACGATAGAGAGGCAAGTATGAGAAGGAGAGCGCGATACGGGCGCCGAGGGACCGGGTTACGAGACGCGTCTTTTTCTCACCGTCACGACGACCGCTGTCGCCGCATTCGGCAAATAAATGACTTATCTCGCGTACGATCGCCTTATTCATGCGCCGCCGCTCATAAATGAATCATCGCGCATTCGCTTATGCTCCGGACGGTCGGCACTCGCTTCAATGACAATTACGCTCGCTTTCCGCTCGCCTTGACGACCGACGGCACAAGGACGCCTCAAGCGTCCCTCGTGTCATCCACCAACTTCATCCCCGTCGCCTTCTCGGTCCGTCACTCCGCTTTACGTTACGTATATCTCTTTCGAACGTCGCTCGATAAAAAGAAAAACTTGTTTCTTTCGATTCCACTAACCGACGAAAAAAATGTTTCGTCAAGCAACTCTAATCAGAATAGGTGTTTCTTTTTGTAAGTATTATGTCTGCCACGAGAAACAATGCCGCTGGCCAAATTGTTTCCTCACGTCAGGTTTTTAAAGCTATTCTGAACTTTAAGATGAGAAATCAGCGATTCGTAAGAAAAAAAATTATATAATAAATCATTAATCGTTGATAAAGCAAAAAAACAGAATATTTGATTTACATATTAATTCCTCACTGGTAAAGGATAAAAGTCATCAAGCTGTAAAAATGTTTGTTTGTTAAGGATATAATACGCAGAAAAGCGGGCACTTCTTTTATATTTAGCAAGATTAATGAGAACAAATAGTCAGATTTGAATGTTATGGGTTCCGTTTTCTTCGTAAATTAAATATCCTTGAAATTTTATCGAAAATATATGAAAAAAGTACAATTCTAAAATGGCTAGTGCAACAAATTTTTTAGAATAAAAGAATAAAAGAAATTTTATT